TCCCTGGAGAAGGGATAAACATGAATACATTGTAACATTTACCCTTTGTTGAACAAATTCCATGTTGGGGGTATTGCTGGTGCTAGCCAAGTCCTCATCCTCCCCAACATGGTTTCCGGGTCATATTAATGAGGGTACTGGACCTACATGTCTTTAAATACCAGTCCAGGGCAGACAGATGGCAGGGACGGGGTTTTGGAATTAGTGAGCTGCAAGGCTTGGCTGAAGTTGGTCCTGTGGCTGAGGGGCTTGCAGAAGATCTGCATGGCTCCGAGTTACATCTTGTGGCAGCCTGGGCACCAGCATCTCTAACTCCATGGCCTCGCTTCTGAGGGTGAGATAGTAGCCAGCCAGCCACATCACCTTTGGGTCAACTGGGGGGTGGTTAGGAATTATTTCTTTTGTATATACAGACATGATTTAGGACTGAATTTCCCTTTCCAGAGTACAAACTACTCAGGCAAATTCTAGAAATGGTCATAAAGAAACTGCAAATTCTTCCTGTCATTCACAAATCATATAGGACTGAGGGTAGGGTGGGGGTAGGCTCATTATCTTAGGCTTCTTTTAATCCCAGAGGAGTTCTGTGTGGGAAACACTAACTGTTCCAGTGGTTAAAGACCCAAAGCTCCTTTTTAATGGGGCCACAATTGGGCAAAACACACAGCACTTTGAAACCTCTCAGCTGCAAGTATGTAAGTTTTAACGAGTCACACAAAAAAAAAAAAAAATAGGGAAACTTATGCAGAGTTTCCTGGGCCACTTCCTCATCTGAGTGATCACGTACCCAGCAATATAGCAGGGGTTGGGAGGGAGCTCCCCTTTGAGGAGAGAAAAGGTGTGTCCACCGCTACCCAGTGGGAGAGAGTAACACAAGGCTGGTTAGGAAATCCCTGGCGATGAGGATATAAATCCCTGCCCCGGGTTCTGAGCTTCCACAGAAGGTGAAAGTCAGGCCTGGCAGCCTTCCCTAGGCCAGAAACAACAAGGTGAAAGAATGTGGAGCAGCAGGTAAGAGACTTTAGAGAGAGAGAGAGAGAGAGAGAGAGTGGGCTAGGGGAGGAGAGCGAGAAAGATCTGGGAGACAGAACCTTTGGGATGTATTCTTGGATGGACTCTCAGGGGCCACTCCTGAAATCTCTGTCACTAAAGGGACCATATCAGAGGGTTTCTAAGGCCCTTTGATGATTTTAAGAGATAGGCCAAAAAACCTGTAGAATCCAAGAAGAAATAGATTGCTCCACCTAATGAAGGCTGTGATATGGGACTTTTGCTTTTGCTGAATTTAGAGGTTTTCTTCTTTGGAAGGAAATTGGCATTTTTTAGCATGACATCTTTTTTTTATTTTTAAAGTCAGTGTGACTTTTCTAACACCTTTGCTCAGTGTTGACTGAGTGCCAATGCTTGCAATTTTTTGAGGAGTAGCAAGCAGAGAGGTGGTGAAGTGTGACCCTAAGTCTCCCGGGTCAGGGTTCAAGTTTCAGCTCTACCTCTTACTAGCTGTATGATGTCACTCATTTTCGGGGAGGGAGAGTGTCTCTTTATGCGTCATTTTCCCCATCTGTAAATAGTGATCTTGATGAAGAGAATCATGGGATTGTGGGCAGAGTAGGTGAATCTGAAACATGAAAAGCATTTAGTGGTGTCTGGTTACCAAGCGGGGACTACCTACATGATTACTCTCAGACATTTTCTTGAATCCTGCATCCTTTTGGAGGCCTTACTTTCCTGGAAACTGAGTCCTGCAGGGTCATCTACCTCTTGGTCCCAGCTCGGCTCCGCCTCTAACCTGGTATGGTCTTAGTCAAGGTGCATCATCTCTCTGTTTCCTGTTCTGTAAACTAGACAGTTGAGTGACCTGTCCCCCCACACATCAGCATCTGTGGTGGGATGCTGCTGGCTTCCCTCTCAGAGTCCACCTTCCCCACCAAGTTCACCTTCCCCTGACCAAACTCTCAAATCTGCCTTCCCAAGAGGACAGTGGGTTTCTTTCCATCAGCTCAGGGTGGTGTCCCATGTGCAAGCCTCGACTGTAGTCTTGTTCATTTCATTTGTATCTTACTTTCCCATTTTTTTCGTCTCTTTGGTTATTCTAAAAGGCGAAAAACAAAGCTTGGTTAGTGGTTGGGGGAGCTGTGAGTATAGACTTGGCCCCATTTGCTTCCAGTAGGCCCATTGCCCCTTCCAGGCCTTGCCCGCAGGTCATCCTTCCCTCCCGAACCTCCAGACCCCAACTGTTCAGCAATGCACACCTGAGTGACCCAGAAGATCCACACTTCCCATTCCTCTCCCCACCCCAGGATGGCTGAGAGGGCCTCCAGCAACGGCACAAGAGAAGTGGGGCAAGCAGTACAGATTTAGTTGTCTTTCCCTGCTTTCTGTACAGGGGACATTGATTATTGCAGTGCCCTTGGCAATGGCTCCCAAACTTGTGTCTGCATCAGCATCACCTGGAGGACTTACTCAAACACAGACTGTTGGATTCACCCAGAATTTCTGACTCAGTAGGTGTGGAACAGGGGCCTGAGGACTTGGGTTTCCACTAAGTTCCCAGGTGATGCTGATGTTGTGTCGGCCTGCCCCGGGACCACACTCTAAGAACCACTTCCTTGGGAGATAAGAGGCAGGCTCGCGTCCGGTGACAAACCTAGGCAGGAATTATTTCAAGATAAGAAACTTTCAAAACAACCCGCAGAGAGTTTCTATTGAGTTTGCCAGGAATGCCAGAGGTGTGGCAGCCTGAAATAAGAAATAATCAATTAACAGATGAAGAAATAGGACCAGCAGGAGCACATGAATACATTAACGTCTGAAACTTGACCTCAGCTGCCTAGCAATTTTGTTATTCATCTACAAAGGAGTTATTTGCTTAAGTTTTTTGCTTTAAGTTATTTGCTTAAAGGAGGCAAGAGAAGGGAAGCAGAAAGATGTAAGAAAGGGATATAGAACTGCTGAGGTCAGCTGAAGGACTTTCAAACCCAGTGGGGCCACAAGAAAAACAATGATGTGGGTGATGTTGAACCATAGAGCCTCTGTTCCAGTCATGTTCAGCCCTGAGCTGAGTATTAGAAACACTCAGGAGCTTTAAGAATTCCCATATCTGGGACAGATTATATCAGGAATTTGAGGGATGGGGTCTAGGCATCAGTCGTTCTTAGAGCTTGCCAAGGAATGCCAAGGCATAACCAAGGCAGAGAGCACTCTTTCTTCCATCTCATAACCCTCTCACTGCCCCACCCTTTAAAAACTATTCAGGGACTTATTTCTTCCTTCATAATCTGTATTTTGTATCTGATCTTTATTTGATGATTCTCATTAAATAGGCATTGACTCACCAGTAGTATGAACAGGAAAGAAGTCTGTAAATGATTGTGGCACTAGGTGATGGGCCAAAAAGCCCAATTTAAACTCTCTGTATTAACTCCCTATGCAATTTATATATAAAACTTGATGTTTCCAGACATTAGTTTCATTCATCAGGAGAAAGGGATGGATTAGAAAGCAGGGGCTCTTTGCTGATTTTAAGAATCTCTGGAGATTATTCATGCTTCCCAAATGTTTCATGAAATGATAAGAGGAAATTTAAGAATACTTGGACTTAATTGGGAATTCAAAGCTTAGTGTATTCAGGGGCAATGCAGTAAGTCAAGTCTGTGAGGCTGTGAGTGATAGGGCCTCGAGCCAAGCAGAATAAGCACCTTCCTCAGAAAAGACATTCAATGAAAAATAATGCTAACATTCTAGAGGAATAATGCATATTCACAAGTTGAGTTGACCCATGATCCCAAGTCTGTGATTTGACAATTCCTGACAATATGGTGCCCTAACCCCAAAGTTAAGGGGGAAGAGTCAAATCCTGGCCCCATCACTAGTATTTGTGCTTCCTTGGAGGAATTATTTAATTTCTGTAAGCCTCAAGGTCTTCATGTCTAAAATGAAAATAATAGTAGATCGTTCATAAAATGTTGGAAGAATTAGGCGTACCCAGACTTTTCCCAGTTCCTGGCATACAGTAAAAGTTCAAGTGCTGCCTAACTTAACCACCCTCAGCATCACCACCACCATCATCTTTACCATCATTGTCACCAGATTATAAGGTTCAGGCAGCAAAATGTTAGAAACCACAGAGATTAAATATTATCTCTGTTCTCACTACATGTAGGCATCTACTGCTTAAATCAAAGATAAACCAGTCCTAAAGATAAATGCCCCTCAAGTCATCTAGGAATTTGATAATATGCAGATGGTTCTGATTTCCTCATATGAGGTAGAGGCTGAGATTTTGCATTTGTTTTAAGTGGTGTTCATGCTGCTGAGCTATGGCCATACTTTGAGTTACAAGACTTTAGAATATTCAAGACAAGTTTCTTTCATTTAGGAGCAAGGAAAAAAGTTAATGTAAAGTTTTAGATGGAGCCTCAATTTTCTAGAGCTAAATGCATTGGAATGTTTTCTTAAATATCTTTTGGAGGCAAAACTCTAAGATCCCACTGAATTCATGTCCTTCAATAATCCCCTCCCCCTGAATGAGAGGGGGATATATGAATATGATGCTCTGTCACTCCCACAATTAGATGACCTCAAATGGCAAAGGTGAAGGAATCTGGCAGGTGTAATTTAGGTCCCCATCAGTTGACGTGAAGGTAGTCAAAAGGAAGACCATGAGAAGCATCTTCTTTTGTCATAGGCTTTGAAGAAACAAGCTGCCATGTTGTGAAGAGGACCACAGGACAGAAATGATGGATGGCCTCTTTGCATTAAGATTGACCTTGATTTATTAAGAAAGTGAGGACCTCAGAAGCTGAGTTCTATCACAGCCACATGTGTTTGGCATAGGGCCCTGAGCTTTGAGATCAATCTGTGAAATCCTGAGTAGAGAGACTCCATCCAGTTGAGCCCAGAAATCCTACACACAGCAAAGTGAGCTAATAAGTGGGTGTTGTTTTAAGTCACTGAGTGTGTAGAAGGTAGTTGCACAGCAACAGAAGGCAGATAGAATGTCCTGATTCTTCTCTCTTGTGGTGCATTCTGGTATAGTTATACTGCGACTATAAGCTAAATCATCTTAGTAGTTTAATATAACACAAGTTTATTTCTTGCTCATGCTATGTAATTGTCGTGAGTCAGTTATATCAGACACTCATGGTTCCTCACAGCCACTTGAGATCATTTTCAAAAGAGAACTGACAGAGGCCATATATTGGACTCAGATTGTCTGGACACCAGTGCTGAAGTGGGAGGTAAGTGTTTCTCTTACTTAAAAGAAGGAGAAACAGGCCTGCAAGACCAAGTGAGTCCATGGATGGTGCCAGAGCTCAGCCTTCTAGCAGGAGGGTTCAGGTTTCATGGTAGCAGGGGAAGAAGAGAGGGTAGGAAGTTAGTGCCAGCTCGGCAATGTGTGGCTCTGGAATAGACCCATGTCCTTTTCACTTTCTTTTTGTGGCCCTAACCAGCCGCGTGGCCATGCCTCACATCAGGGGAAGTGGAATCCTGCTCCGCGGTATACTAGGACCGGAGATTAGTGACTGTCTACAGTGCTGTCACTACATCAGTTGGAGCAGCAGGAACGGAAGCAAGATTTCAGGTCACCTGGCTTCATGGGTGTTCTCACCATCAGGGAACAAATTGGTTGGGACATCAGAAAGCTAAGAGAAACCAGAGAGGGAAAGTCTGCAAACAGAAAAGTTGCCCTAGTCTCAGAGTAGAACAAAAGTTTTTCCTGGTGAGATTTTTTTGGCGTCTGTGGAAAATTGGACTAAAGCCTGTGTTTTCTTGTGATAAGAGATTTCCGCACACAGTGTAAATAAAAATTGCTTTCATTTTTCTTTGACATTTATCTGCTTAAATGTACATGCCAAACACAGGGCTGGGGCAAGCTGCTGCCTTCTGTGACTCCCACATAACAAGCCATTCTAGGGAGGCACATTTTCCAGGACAAAAAGACAATGAAAGAACAGCTGTGGGCCAAAAATTCAAGAACCTAGATGAACTGAGCCAGACGTCCACATGATATATCACATGTGACGTCAGATTAACTTCATCTGAGCCAGCATTTGGGACGGGGAGGCCCCCATCAGAGGTGTGCTAAGACTCTTTTCTAGCACAAAAATAATTTGTGGACAACCCATCAAGTGTTCTGCGGTACATATTTTAACAGGAGCTGCCTCGTATTTCTTTGCATTTAGCACTAAGCTGTCGTGTGAATGAAAGTATTAGAATTCCCTGGTAGGCTTTGAATGTGTGTGTGTGATTTGTGTTTACATGTTATTAAACATACTTCTGTAATATGCATTTGGCCATATAAGTTTATTGATTTTATTAGGTAAAATCAAACACCTCTGGCATAATAACTACTGTTAACTAACTTATTGACTATGACAGAAAGTTCTCAGGCTGAGTGATGGGCCTTTAGCAGGAGTTGGGCAGATGTAGACAGTAGAAGCTCTGAGCTGTCACTCAGCTCATCCAGATGTGTGTTCTTGAGGAAGTTACTTATCTCCCTGAATTTCTGGATCTTCTATAATTTGCTAACGACAACCATTTGTGAGTGTGCTCTCATTGTGGCACTGTGCTGCCCTCCTTACATGTCACATGCCATTTAACCCTCCTGTGCCATATGCCAGGCTATAGCCACTTTACCTGGCATGCTGAATCCTACAGAGGCAGTAAAACCTGCCCACTCATGTATCATCCAACTGGCATGAGAGGAAGGCCAGACTCACACTTGCTGTCAGGCTCTGACATCCAGATACTGTTCACATAACTCCCAGGTCTTTTGGAAGGTCCAGGTAGACTTTTGAGTTGTCTCCGAAGGTGGAATTTGGTCAATGAGTAGAGCTGAGAGGGAGGTGAATTTAGATTTCAAAATGACAGTGAAGTTTCTCATTGTGGGTACTTTCTAAGATTGGAAGTTTCCATCTGAGGAGGAGTAACTGTGACCATCTGTGGAGGGTACTGGGTTCAAGAAAACTGGTTGGGTGGGCTGCTGAGCTTCATGACTTAAGCTCCAGGATCTGATGTTTCTACAGAGCAGAGAACAAGTACGAAGACTGGGGATCGCACAGACTCAACTTTGCACCCTACTTTATCATTCCATTAGTTCTGTGGCCTTGGGTAAGTTACTTAATGTGCCTGAATCTATTTCCATTGTTTCCTGCTTGTAATTGGATGATGTGCTCTATGACTCACAAGCTTTGCCCTTTAGAGTGGTGCTGAGCAACGAATTCTGCTTATTTAAAGATCAGTCATAGAATTTGAGCTTGGTGGATTTGTACTGGAGAGGCATTTTGGAAGAGGGTGGCAACTATTCTGGGCTAGAAAAGTCATCTTGTGGGTTAGCCTGCGGGAGGGCCTGCAGCAGAAGGCAGGTGAAGGTTGTTCTTTGGTTGCTGGCCCAGGCTGCAGAGGGGCTCTGTGTGACTTGGGCTTTACTGGGAGTAGAAAGTGTTAACAGTGGATTTCAGTGAGTGGAAGATGAATTGGTTGATTTATTGAAATGTCAGTAGTTAATTGTTCTTGGGACAGAAGTTGATCAAGTTCAAAAGTTTTGACAGAGAAAAGGTTGTCTTAGAGAGGACACTTGTTGCAGAAAGTGAAATATACAGAGTATGTAGCTTTTGGTGGAACCAAGTTTTAACTTCTCCAGGTATGTTCCTTGGAGGTTCAGCCCAATATGGCCCAATGCCAGTTCTGCCAAATATGGGCCTCCAATAAGCAGTTCCATCTGCCTGAGCCCCAGGAGGGTCAATGATGTTGAGGTGCTGTCATTTGGATCTGATCAAGCAGACCAGAAACCATCTCACCAAACTGCTCTGAATTCCTTTTAAAGGGGGGGGGGTTGCTAGCTTCTCTCTTTTCTACCACAAAAATAATTTGTGGACATTTTTCAACAAGAACTGCCACAAATCTGGCCATATATTTCTTGCATCTGACCCTATAAGATCTTCCCTGCTCCTCAACTCTTAACCTTCTGTGCATTCCAGTGAGATAGTTCTAATACTTTTTATATTGCTTCAGCTTCAAATTTCAAAACATTTCTAAGTTTGATGTGAATATTTATTTTCCCACAGATTTCAGAAGGTATTATAGCATGTGTGTGAAACATGTTTAGGCTTTTAGGAATCTGGTTTTACAAATTGGAGGTGATGAAGTGATATGCATAAACCACATAGCTATCTCACTTTGTTAATATTTAAGACCTGTCCTTGTTTTTGTGTTTTGGATGACTGTATCAACTGACTCATAGGTGAACAGTTCTCTAGAAACTTCAGGAAACAAGGTGAGGGTGGGACAGAAATGTTTAATTTTCTCAGTGAATTAAGGCCAGATGTATTCAAATTCTCAGCATAAAAAAAGAATAAAGTACTATCATGCAACACAACATGGGTGAATCTCACACAAATATAGTGGCAAAGAAACCAGACACGGAAGAGCACATTATTTCAGGACACCCTTAAAAGAATAGACAAACTAATTTACATTCTTAAAGGCTATGAAGTGGTTATCTTGTGGTGGGTAAAGCATTTACTGGGAGGGGACATTTGGGGATGCTGGGAATGTTCTCTATCTTGCTCTGGGTACATGGTGGCACACAGATGTAAGAATTCCTCAAATTTTACACATAAGATTTTGTGGACATTTCTGTATGTAAGTTGAATCCCATCTCCAAGATACTCTTGCTCTACTTCCTTTCTGTGAAATTCACTGATAGTGTTTCTTGTACAGCAGTTGATTCTTTGTCATTGCTGTAGAGTATCTTATGGATGCAGCACAATTAGACTTTTATTGTTGTTGGGCTTCTAAAAAGGTTTAAAAAGAATGACTTTGATTTTTAGGTCTTAAATGGACATATTATCTACTCACTAGCAGATTTTACTTACTAAAATACTAAGAAATACATATTAGAAAAAATAGGCCAAATATATTCAAATTCACAATAGAAAAAATTGTTATACATTTTAAATGCCTGAAGATTTATTTCTGGAGCTATGGTTTATTTACTTGTTCGCAATTTGTTAAGCAATTTGGATTCTAAAGTATTGATGGGTAAAGTGTGATGACATCTACAAGTTTGATAGATATATATATATATATATATATATATATATATATATATATAAAATGGGGCAAAATATTAGTAATTAGTGAATCTAGGTGAAATAATACTGGTCGATACTATTTCAACTTTTCAGTCTATTGGAGAATTTTCAGAACTAAATGAAATACTCTTAGGCTAGATGTCCATCCATGGTCAGGCGGCAGGTGTGGGGGGTGAAAGGCAGATGAGCATTCCCTGTGGCTGTGCAGGTGCAACTCTTGCCTGTCGGGCTCAGCGTTGCACCATCAGTTCTTCCCACCTCACTGCATTCCTGCTCCTTCCTTCAACTCTTCATCCTTTCCTCCTGTCATTTTCCTAGCCCTGATCTTCATCCTTTTCCTCTGTTTTCTTTCATTGACTATGGTGAAACATAGCTATTTGACAATAAACTATGAATAGCAGTGTAACTCAAATGTTTGGAGCAAACTGTTCTTGAAATTTCCTCCTTCCAGTAAGAGGGTCAACTCAGATTCAAGTAGAAATGTTAAGTTGTCTGTAATTTAAAGATAAATTTAAAGAAAGTAGGGCAGGAGAACAGCATTTTGCTGAAAAAAATTTTTTTTTTCCCTCAAGTCCTGCCAAAGACTATTTCCCACATTATGGAATCTTGGTTCCAGCCTTTTTGAGGTTTTAATGATTGGAAATGATTGCTACTATGTGTTTGTGGTTTAATTATCTGAAAACCATTTCCTGGAGAGGTCAGAGTAAAGCAGCTATTTTGACAAATTCCAGGGAAAGAGACCAAGACAATTCCCTTGGCTGGGGACACCCTGGGGAGGGTGGGGGTATGGTGGGTGGGAAGTGGTTATCGAAGTTGACAACATGTTAGGATGTTGTTCCATTGGAACAGGATCCCTGCTGAAACATCTCTACTTCTCACCCTGACTGGATACGTGATTTTGAAAAGAAGGCTTGTGTTCAACTTAGTTGCATCATCTGAAAAAGAAAACGATGAGACTAAATTTGTTTAAGGCTCTCCCAGCTCTGTAGCTCAGCTATCATTGCCCTTGAATAGACACAGCCTGATTCTCTGGTGGAAAAGCAATTTTAGATATGATTGCAAATCTTCATGTAATTTGAGGCTTAAGCATGAACCCGTATGAGCAGTGGTGGCGGTGGGGTGCTTTCATCTGAGGGCAGAATGAACAGTTCCTCTTGCCTTTGACTAATGGGAACCAATTAGCAGAAACAGTTTACTTGAAACAAGTGAGTATCAGAAAGATGGCCACAGTATTGAGAAAACAATATGGATAGTACCTGCTAAAACTCACCCTCAACCCCCCATCCCCTTGTCATAAACTCTAGAAAGGCCACAAACTGGGATTAGGTTTGTGGTGCTGCAGAAGAAGCACTCATAACAGAAGGTAGTCCAGGATGAGAGGGCAGCTTCATGAAACCCACTAGGACTAAACTTCTTCTCTTTTCCCCCTGCCACTTTCAACAAATGGTTAGCACCTTGTGGTCCAAGATGGCAGCTACAGCCCAGCAACTGTAGCCATACTGAGCCAGCAGGAAGGAAAACTCGGGAGATTTTTTTTTAGTCTTTTAAGGACTTAAATAGACATCCTGAGAAGATCATAAAACATTTCCACTTACCTTTTATTGGCCAAAATTTTATTGTATGACCACCTCTAGTTGCAAGGGAGAATAGGAATGTAGTCTGTGCGGAATAAGGTTCCTAGTAAAGAGTTAAGGATTCTGTCACTTAGGACAGATATTAGATGAGGAAACCAGAGGCATCTGTCACAGAGAGTATATTTATGAAGAATAAAGACTTTGGAATCAGTGAATCAGTAGTCCTGAGTTTAAACTTTAACTTTTGCTTACTAGCTATAAGATATTAGCCAAGCTACTTAGCCTCTTTTGATCTCTTTGATCTCTTCTGACATTGTACAGTCGACATGCTATTTGCATCAGGGGGATAAAATGAAACAATGAATTTTCAGTATTTAGCATAGTAGCCATACTATTAGGCTAGTTCCTATAGCAGCATCACTGATATCATTCATTTATTACAATATGTGGTACTGGTTATATACAGTGGATTTACTCCTACTTTTGTGTCCTTACTAGAGAACTAGTGATTTTGCCTGAGACTAGTACAGTGGGGGACGTGATGAGCTAATAGATGTTTAAAGAGGACAAAACACCTCAGTCGATGTTGATATGCTCTTTACACTAACCAGGGGGCCTGGAGACCCCAAGGGGGGTTAGAAGGAATGTTACAGGAAATATTTGTATTTCAGAAACATATGAAGTCTAGGACCATGTAGAAGCAGAGTAGCTGAAGCAAAACATCCAGCTAAAGGGAAGATCTCAGGTCCTTCACTATCCAACTCTGGCCTCTTCTCACTAGAAGGGGAGCTCCCATGGCAGCTCTATGTCCACCCTTCAAGTGGTTTCTGACCAGCTCAAGGATCACTTCCCCAGTTTGCCAACCCTGCCCTGGCCAGTTAGGAGTCATCTTGATTTCTTGTGAGCCATTTACAATGATATCTGTACTGCAACAGGGGATAACCGAGATTCCTACAAGGAAATAGGTGAGGGGAGGTGATAGGGATTTTTTTGGGGGGGGCGTTCATGCATCATCCCCAACTCTGGTAGACTTTCAGCCAAACATCCCTGGTACTTTCTGGGGCAGGGCATCACCTAGGTCATGAGGGCAATGAATAAGACTGGACTTCTCTCCTCAAGGCTGTCATTCCCATGGGGAGTCAGACACAATACAGGCGTGGCCACCTGTGCAGCATGTTTGCTTGCATTACCCTGCCTGTGTAACCTTGCAGCCCCTCCCACTAGAGGTGGGGGTTATTTCCCCACACCACTGCTGGCAGGTTTGGTCATATGATTTACTTTGGCCAATGGAATGCGGGCAGACAAGAGTGAGCTGGTTCTGAGCAAGGCCTTGAGTGCTTTTGCCCACATTTTTTGTGACAGCCATCACACAAGATCAACTCCCAGGTGGCTCACCAGTCCAGGCAGGATGAGGGACGCATGGTACAAATTTGGATCCCACCTGAAATTTGGAGCTAAGCCTAATCCAGTTAATTTGGCGCTCAGCCAAGCTCCACTTGACCCACAGATCTGTGAACCAGAATAAATGATTATTTTAAGCCTCTTGGTTTGGGCGTGGTTTGCGAAGCAGCATTGTTGTGATTATGGTTAGTTGATACAACAGGCAATTGCAATGTGATGTGTGGAGGACAACAAGGAGCTAGAAGCAAGTGCCACTCCAGTCTTGGGGGGGCTTTGGGGCAGGATGCTTCATGAACTTGTGCAAGTTATTCACTTTTCAGGCATTGTTTTTCTTTATCTCTTAGAAAGTTAACAGTTATGAAAAAGAAGAATCCAAATGGACTAAAGGAAAACTTCCCTGACAAGTAAAATAGGCTTTTAGTGATTTTTTCATTCATTCAAGAAACTGGAGTTAGAGGTATAGCTATGAATAAAATAAAGTAGGATCCATGGACATAGAACCTCATTCTAGAGACAGAAGATAAAATGAATAATGTATGCTATGGAGCACAACAGCCGGAAAGGGAAAATTTTAGTGTTGGGAAGAAGGGTGGTGTGAGGGACCGTTCGCAGCAAATGAAGGATGTTGGAGCACAGACCTGTGGAGAGGACACCCTAGGGAACCTGGAACCGCCCGTTTTCCTGGGGACCACCCTGTTACAGTCTCACTGAGGAGAAAGCATCTCAGATCAAGGGAGTCCAGAAAAAAACATTCCTGTCAATATCCTTCCCTCATTTCCTTAAAGTTTAACTTGTTCTGTTACAGGGCAACCCTGATGTGAAATGGGGTAGCCTGACTGTAGGTCCTCGCCCGCACGCTTAAGAGGGATTTAAAATGAGACTCAACTGTAGGCACACACAAAAAGGCTAATAAAGGGTTTATTTAAATTTTTAAAAAGATTTATTTATTTATTTATACAAGTACTGGGTATAGTCAGAAGCGCGGGAGGGTGAGAGAATTCACCAGAGCCAGAGAGGGGAACAGAACAGGCAGACTGATGAAGTACACTGCTGAGGGGAGCAGCGGGCACGGCAGGAAAGGTCCGCCGTGCCATGTGGGACCCTCGCTGGCAGCCGGGGTGCGAACTGGCCCTGCAGAGGCTGCAGGCAGCCTTGCAGCCCAGCGCTCAGCCACTGTGCCACCAGGGGAGGCCCAATAAAGGGTTTATTTACAAAAGAAGGGGAAATGGAGAAATGAATAACTCAGGGAGAAAGAGAGGGAGATAAATTGGTGAATTGGTCCTACCAGTTCCGCTGAGCTGGAACCCCAATAGCACTCTGAGAGCTGGTGAACAACCTAGTACCCCAAGCCCATGTTTGTTTATACACCAGACCTGGCTGCTGAACTCCACCCTCAGGTCCCAGCAATCCTCCCTTCAGTGGCGATGACATTATGGGATTTGTAGCCCTTGGTGTCTTGGTTCTCTTTGGTCTAGTGTGGGGGTGGGGTCCATAAAGCCTATTTGTGGAGTTTCTTTGGGACATCCTTCCCCCCAACAATTCCCCTGTTAGCTCTCTGCCTACTTGTGTCTATAGGGGTGCCTCTTTTTTTATTCCTCCTTTTCCTAAATAAAACTGTGCGTTTAAAGTGTAAAAAAAAAAAAAAAAAAACAAACCACACCAAAAAAAAAAAAATTATCCCCCTGTTCCTAGAACAGATATCACTGTGAATATCTCTTGGTAAGCCCAGATGATTCTTACCTGGCAAGGCAGGGTTGGCAAACTGAGCAAGTGCCCCTGGTGGTTGGAAAACTTTAGAAAATGGAATCCCACTTCCTAGAGGGATTGTAAATGCTCTAGGGTTTGAGGAGGAAATAAAAAAAATTGAGTTTTCTTAAAAAAAAAACTAGGCAAAAAGATTTCCACCATCACGTAAAGTCTCCAGCACTAACCCCTTGGGACCATCTTCAAGGGGCTCTTCTTTGGGGTCAGTGGCTTCTGGTGACCCCTCTGTCTTTTCCTCTAGGCCACGGGGACTTGAAATGTCTACTTCCTGTGTCCTCTGGAAGTTGTCAGAAACAATGTTTGTCTTGTTCACCCTGGTAATGGGTGTTTCTGCCTTTGTTCTTCAGCCTGTAGAACCCAGAGGTAAGAAGTGAAATTTTCAACTGGGAAGGGCCTGCCTGCAGCCTTTCTGGGGAAGCAGTTGTTTATCTAGTGAGGTTTTGTTTTCAAAAAGTAGGATGTGCATATTCACGCCTAGAGAGGCAACAATGCTTCCTCTGGCCCACCTTGCTACACACCCATCATTCCTCACAAAGGTGTGAGCCCAGTGGTGCTTTTCCTTTAATAGGAAGTGCCATTGGATTTTAATCATGAATCCTGTGAGAAATAAACTTTTTCTATCTGAACTCAGGATCTACTTATAATGACAAAATGTCAACAAGGTCAAAATTTAAATTTTTTTTCATCACCACGTGAACCTGATTTGACTTTTTCCATAGCATACAAGTTGGGTTTGATAATGGCACTGAAGTTATTTGTGAGTTAGGAACTTGTAACAGGAGGAGTTAGAGGGCCCCCAAGGTGCAAGACTCTTTTTAGAGGCACCTGGCACTGGGAGGTCTTGGGCAGGGTTTTTTTTTTTTTTTTTAAAGATTTATTTATTTGCATACAAGAGCTGGGGTGCAGGCCATAGGTGGGGGTGGGGGTGTGTGTGAGAGGATTCACCAGACAGAGTGGGGATGCAGAAAAGGTGGATTGACTGAAATACACTGCTGAGGGGAGCCCCTGGTGAGACAGGAGAGGTCTGCTGTGCCATGTGGGTTACCTCCCTGGCTGGGGATCGAAATAGTGCTGCAGTAGCTGCGGATTGCTTTATAGTGCTGACACTTAACCCCTTGTGCCACCAAGGAGACCTTAGGCAGATTTTAGACCTAAAGGCTGATGGTGGTCTCTCTGCCCAACAGTGACTGCAGGAAATTGCCAATTTCGTGGCAAGCATTTCAAAAGTTACTTCAAAGTGGAAGGGGAACCTGTGATCCTGAGGTGTCCCCAGGTGCGAAGTTGGTCGTGGGCCTCATCCAGCGCCCACATCAACTTGACATGGCGTAAAAATGATTCTACTGGGTTGGTGCCAGAGGAACAGACGCGAGTGCGGGTGCAGGACGGTGCTCTCTGGATGTTGCCAGTCTTGCAGGGGGACTCTGGTACCTACATCTGCACTGTCAGGTAAGCCTCTGGGGGAGGTGGGGAGGAGTGGAGTGCTTGGCAGAATGGACTTTCGTGTGGTTCTTCAGCCATGACCTGGCTCTCAAAATTCAGTGCACTGGTGAGAATCTACCTGATATGACCCAAGCTGTGCCTGAGGTACCTCCCACCCAGACCCTCCTCCCAGGTGATCTCATGGCTTCCTTTACTCCCTGTGTTGAAGATTTTGCTCCAGCGTCACCTCTTTGAAGAGCACTTCTTGAACCACTTGATTTAAAACAGCGCTTCTATCAGGCTCTTTCCTCACCTTGCTTTTAATTTTCTTTATCTGACATGCACATGTTACGGATTTATTGTTTGTTTGCACCATTAGACCATAAACTCCAGGAGGATAGGGACTTGATGCTTAGTTCACTACCAAAGCCATATGGCAGGGACACAAGAAATAGATCAAGAATACTGATTAGATTTTAGACCTGATGAATGAGTCGATCCAATGTCTTGCTGCACCCATGAGGGACTCAAACTCACTTTAATGTTCTCCCAGGTTGAGGGGGAGGAGAGGTGAAGCTGTAGCTGGAACCCATAGCACCTGACACAGGGTCTAATCCTACTTATATTTTTCCTGTCCTGTTGCTTTACCCCTTTAATTGTGCTAATACTACATTTACCATTTTAGCCCTTTAATATTAGATTTACCATTTTAGCCCTTTAACATTTTTCTATTAAAGTAACATTAGCTTAAAAATTATATATTTTAGGTGTTTAGCATTATAATTCAATATCTGTATATACTACAAGAAGACCTCCACCAAAGGTTTAATTTTCATCAACCACCATACAATCTATCCTTTTTATCTGATTTACTTTCCTCCTTCTCTTCTGGTGACTTCTGTTTTGTTCCTATAGTCTCAGGCATTTTAAATATTTTTAAATGTACAGTTCAGTACAATTCACCACCATTCATCTTCAGAACTCTTTTTATCAACCCAAGCTGAAACTTTGTGTTCATTAAACGATAATTCCATCCCAGCCCCCAACCAGCGTTCTATTTATATCTCTATGAATTTGACTGCTTTAAGTATCTCATATGCATAGAATTATATAATATTTTTCTTTTTGTGACTGATTTATTTCACCTAACTGAATGCTTTCATGGTGCATCCATGTTGTTGCATGTGTCAGAATTTCCTTCCTTTTTAAGACTGAATAATATTCCATGTCACCTTTTGTTTAATCATTCATTCACTGATGGACACTAAGGTTGCTTCTGTCTTTTGGCTATTATGAATAATGCTGCTGTCAACATGGTTGTTCAAATATTTGTTTTCTCTCCTTGCTTTCATTTCTTTTGGGGATATATACCTTGAATTGAAATTGTTGGATCATATGGCAATTATGATTAACTTTTTGAGGAACTGTCATACTACTTTGCACAGTGGATGTGCCATTTTCTTCTCCACCTACAGTGTACAGAGTTCCATTTACATCCCCACCAACACCTGTTAATTTCTTTCTTTAAAAAAAAAAATTATAATAGTCATCTTGGTGGGTACTGAGTAGTATGTCATTGTGGTTTTGACTTACATTTCCCTAATGGTTAATGATGTTGAAAATCCTTCCATGTGCTTTATTGGCTATTTGTGTATCTTCCTTGGAAAATTTTTTATTCAAGTCTTTTGCCCATTTAAAAAATTTAATTATTTGTTTTTGAGTAGTAGGAATTCTTTCTATATTCTGGATATCAACCCCTTTTTAGATACATAGCTTAAAATGTTTTCTCCCATTCCATGGGAAAATGGATAGTTGTTGATACTACCTTTAATGTTCAAAAGTTTAAAATTTCTGTGAAGTTCAACTTACCTGTTTTTATTTTGGTTGCCTGTGCTTTTGATGTCATGTCCAAGAAATCACTCTCACATCTGATGTTTTGAAGCTTCACCCCTGTGTTCTCTTCCAAAAATTGTAGTTTTTCCTCTTAGAGTTAAGTCTTTGAGTCATTTCAAGTTAAATTTTGCAGGTGAGATATAGTAAATGTCCAATTTTATTTATTTAGTTTATTTTTTGCCTTCTGGTAAACAATAATTTAGCCTTATAGTCTAAAAGTTTGTTTTTGAAATAGTTAGTTCATACCTTTGTTTTCTTTCTTTATTGTTATATGAACGAAATCATATAGTGCTTGTCTTTCTCCATCTGCCTTATTTCACTAAGCTTGACACCCACCAGGTCCAATGATATTGCTGCAAATGGCAGGATTTCATCTTTTTAAAAATAGCTGAATAGCTTTTTTAATATATAATATTTATATATTTTTTATATATTGTGGTTATATACACAATATATATTGTGTATAAAACCACATCCTTTTTATCTAATCATCTTTAACAAGCACTTTGGTTTTTTTCTCTTTTAGTGTAAAAATTCTTTTTTTTTCCTAAGGAGCGCTACTGTTACAGGACAGGGAGAGGGATACCCCCAGACCCCACAAACCTGCCTGCTCTAAATAGGTTCTGCCATCCGCCACATCAACATAAAACATACGAGACTTTAATGGGAAGGAAATTTAATACAATTAGGAAACAATACAGGAAAGGCAAAGAATATAGTTTCTAAATCAGGTACCCAAAGTTACCCGTCCCCTTGTGGGTGAAAGTCCGTCCAAGCAGGATTGGCCCAGAGCAAGGCCCCAAAGCCTGCCACAAGTCTAAAGCACCTTCCAGTGGGGACCCATAGAAAAGGACCAGAAACAACCAGACAAGTCTGTAAGGAAAGGAGGAAAATCAAAATCAAGATGAAAACTGCCATTGTCACCTCCCCACCAGTCTTTCACCCACATCTGTGTCACCCAGTCCACGACCAAAAGGCAAGCGTAGTTTTTTTTCACGTGTCTCTTGGCCCCATGTGCCTCCTCCAGGTCTCCTTCTGGCTCTTCATCCTGCTTCCTTCCTTCCTCAGTCTCCTCTGCAGCTTCTTCTCTCCCTGCTCACTACTAGGAGACCTAGCAGTGTGGTGGAAAAAGGAATTTGGGGTCAGAATGACATGGATGTGCCTCTTAGCATTGTCATTTCCTATCTTGTTGGACCTTAATCTTATTACTCCACATTTATGGCCTCAGCTTCCTCCCCTATAAAGAGATTTGCTGAGGTTCTGTGAAATCACAGCATAGGAGATGTAGGTAGTACCCCAAGTGGGAGGTCAGTATACACAGAAATGTATCCCAAAGGCAATGCTTACTTTTTTTTTTGCTTTTTTAAAAGATTTATTTATTTATTTATACAAGCACTGGGTACAGTCAGAAGCACGGGAGGGTGAGAGAATTCACCAGAGCCAGAGCAGGGAGCAGAACAGGCAGAAGGACCAAAGTACACTGCTGAGGGGAGCAGCGGGCGGCAGGAGAGGTCTGCGCACCATGTGGGACCCTCCTCTGGTGGCCAGGGAGCAGCCGGGGATCGAACCAGTGCTGCAGAGGCTGCGGACAGCTTCTCAACCCAGCGCTCAACTGCTGCGCCACCGGGGAGGCCCGGCAATGCTTACTTTTGCAGTGATAATGTTGGGGGGGAAAGGACATCCTGAATGAACTCCACAAACATAGGTTTTATGACTCCACCCCCATCCCAGACCAACGAGATCCAAGACACCAAGCACTGCAAAAGTAAGTCTCAGGTGTTATTGGTTGATGTACCAAAAGGAAACATGCTTTGGAGGGTCTCTCAAAGCCATTAAAACTTGGGTGTAGAAAGGATGCAGCTATAACTGACTAGAAAAAGTCCTATGACTGCTCCTACCCACAGTAGGGTCAGCACATGTAACCCTACTGTGTGCTTAGAATAGAGGAAACTGGGCAACTGACCAGCACGGATGGCTGCCACCCCTGTTCTGTGGGGATGCCACGCTACTTGGGACAGATGAGTGGTGGTCGAATTACCACTTCCCACTGCCTCTTACTTTTGACCTAGTCTCATGGAGTGTCTTGCTGAAGGGAAATTGCCAGATCAGTAATCTGAACAAATTTGCAACTCTCGATATGTCTAGTAACCTTGGTTTCTGAGATATTGCCCTAATTTGTGGGTCTTCCCAGAGCCTTATTGGGCTTTTAACCTTGATTTGACTTTAGTGACTATGAAGACTTAGGAAATTGCTTGATTTATATATACCTAATTTTCTTCATCTACAAATGACATACTAATAATTTCCAGCTCATATTGTAGGAGAATCAATGTATGTGGAGTACCCAGCACAAGGCCTGGCATGAAGTTTTTCACTACAAATCTGCTGGGGTGACTATTTTCAGGGATGCACTGTTACTTAATTTGTCCTCACTTGCATCTCTCTGACTTACAGAGATTATTCTTTTTTTAAATTGTTAGTTAAATTTTTGCATTTCTTTGTGCATAAAATGTTTATTCATTTCTTTTTCCCTTTTTAAAACCAGTTATGAATATAATGTAGATATTGTCTATATGTTTGAATTAATTCATTATATTTTTAGGTAGTAAGCTTTTATCACTTAATACTTTCATATGTATTTATCGCATTTTGTTCCTCCTTGGATGAAGATTTGTTTTGCATTTTTGTTGGGCAGTTCCCTCCCAACCCTGCACTTCCAATAACACACATTCTCATTGTCTCTGTTGCTGTACCATACTTCTTATGTAGCCAGAAACTTAGCTGAGATAATCATATTTTTATGTTTTTCTGCTTAAAATAGTCTTAATTGCTATCCTCTGTCCTTTCCATTTCCTGCGTATTTCTGGTAATGTTTTGTCTCTGCCCTTTCCCAAGGTCCAGGGTCTTGACAGAATTATGATATTAAGATTATAGTTAGGCCAGCCCCCTCAAATTGAAAACCAAACAAACTTACCACGATCATTTCTCCTGTGTGGTAATGCAAAAATCTTTTTTAGATCTTATACTAAGTTCTCAGCAGCTTTCTGAAATTAGACTTCAGTTGATAAGTGATTCCCAAGAAAAGTAAAGGGAATATTCTTTTATAGAAACAGTGGCTCTTAGGAAGTCATCTCTCAGTTTGGCTGTGGTTCCTATGCTAGGAAATAGGAGCACATTGAGGCTGTGCTCAAAGATCCACCCCCCCAACCCCCAAGAAACTGGGACGTTTGATGGCCCTTGATGGTGTCAAAAGCAGACTTGTAGAAGATCTTTTGGGGAAAACACAGAATCCATCACTATTTCTATACATAATTGTGAGGTGGTGCTTTTTTCTCTCCTTCCTCTCCCCCCCACTCTGACAAGAACTCAAAAGATCCTGAACAAAAGTGTTGCAATACTAATCAAGAAAATGTGGAATGCAGAATTTCATGGGTTTGGGATATTATTCTTCATTTCATTGAATTCTCCTTTTATTTTTGCCTTGCTATTGATTGTTCTTTTTTTCCCTTTTAAATCAGAAATGCTTCCTACTGTGATGAAATGTCCATTGAGCTGAAGGTGTTTGAGAAGACAGAAGCTTCCCTGCCTTTCATGTCATACCCGCAAATCCTAATCTTAGCATCCTCAGGGTCATTAGTTTGCCCTGAGTTGAGTGAATTTACCCATGATAAAACTGACACAAAACTTCAGTGGTACAAGGTACATCTTCAAAAATTGCCATTTAATTAAAATGCATTTTACTAGTCATTGGAAAGATAAATACACCCATCCTGAAGGTGTTGTATTTACTTCATATCTCAGTTTTTTGAAAAAAAAACAAAAAAAAAAACAAAAAAAAAAACAAAAAACCTAGTTAATTAAAAAAGGGTCATGATTAATACATTCCTTTTAATACTTATGGACTTGGTAAGAGTCCTTAGAATAATGGTTTGAGAAGACAGAAATGAAACAGAACAGCTGAAGAAGAAAAACCTTTTACTTTCCCATTTGTCTGTAAAAAGGTAGAAATAACTGTCAGTTTATTTTACAACTTTATACCCATATTAACAGAGCTTTTGAAAAGCACATGGTAATTAACCCTTGGGTTAAAAGGTAAATATCAGCATGATATATTCCCTCATCTACTTGAATAAATACTATAGCATCGCGTCACCAAGTGTGGGCAAAATGCAAGCCAGGACTAATAAGCTTTTTTTGGTCTGCTTGCTATCAAAGGATAGTTTTTGCAGTATTTCATGACATGATAAAAATGCTACAAAATTCAAATTTCATGGCCTCCCCTGGTGGTGCAGCAGCTGAGTGCTGGGCTGCAAGGCTGCCCGTAGCCTCTGCAGTGCCGGTTCGTTCCCCGGCCACCGGTGAGGGTCCCACAAAAAAAAAAAAAATAAAATTAAATTAAAAAAAATTCAAATTTCAGTGTCCATAAATAAAATTTTACTGGAACAGGCTGTTTAATGGCCTTGCTCATTAGTGTCAGTTTTCATATGCAATGGCAGAGTTGAGGAGTTGGACGGAGGTGATGTAGTCAATAGGCCTGAGTTATTGATAGTCTGACCCTTTATGAAAAAAAGTTTGCTGTCCCCTGATAGACCAAAGGTTAATACTGAAAAGTGGAGTTATTTTTTTAAGCATGACAGAAATGAATCCTGTAGTCAAAAATAGGTCAGTTTACTGGTGTGATTAACTACACGATGTAGGTAACTTATCCGATTTAACATTGGAAACTTTAAAATGATTTTCAGCAAGCAGGGTGAGAGAACCAACTCCTATGAATTAACCAGTCAAGTTACAGAACCAAGTTCTCTTGGTTCTCTGGGACATGACTTTTTAGTTAATAGAGAACAGAAAGTGACGCTGAGAAGTTTTACATATAGATGAAAGCATAGGCTGTGGAATCAACCAGCCTGGCTTTGAAATGCTGTTTCTTCATTTACCTGTTGTTCAGCTTGGCCAACTTATGTCACAGCTTGAATCTGCTTCCTCTGCAAAGTGCGGTTAGTCATGTCCATTGAGTGGGGTTGTTTTGAAGATGAAGTGGAGGATTGTGTACAAAACACCTTGTGCAGTGCCTGACCTCTAAATGGTGCTCAGTGAATGAGGAGGAATGAGGATATCCCACAGGTGCTTAATAGTAATTGGTTCTCTTAATGATAATGCTAATCATTGCTGAGCAGGTACAGTGGCAAACTCTCTTCTAAGCTGGGTCTCATGCAACCTCGTGAAGTAGGGACTTTTAGTATCTCCATTTTATAGAATAGGAAGCAGAGCTCCAGAAATATAAGGAACTTGTCCAACAGCACAGAGCTGGTAAATAGCAAAGCCAAAACTCTAACCCAGGTGCCAGGTCTCACCTCCTCCGGGCAGGCCGTGGGTGCTGGGGGGTCAAGGGCATTGGAACAACAGGCCGTTTGGTTTTTCTCATTTTTGAGCACTCATCTTAGGAACAATGGAATTTCTCTTTTTCATTAAATATATTATAAAATAATGTGAACCACGTAACTATTTCAGTTATGTCTGTGTTCTCATTCAGAATAAGATTCTGAAATGACTCAAGGTTATGTTTGACTATTACAAGATTTTGATCATCGTGGTTTTGAAAGAGATGGCCCTGAGAACATTTTGTGCTCATTATGATGTTTTCTTCACTTTCATTCAGTTTTTTCTATTTTATTGGAAGCCTTGCTTTAGAAGGCGCTATAATGCTGAGCCCACAGTGCTTTTGTCCATACGAAAAGCGTGGCTTCATTCTCACATTTAGCTTTTTATTACACATTTTTCTCTATTTCTGCTGACTTCTAATACTCCTCTTCTGAATATTGTTTTCCATATCACCAGAACTACCTAACAGTGCTCTTCCCAGGGTGATTTCTAAGGCTATGAGTAGCTGCTAGGTTGTAAATAAGTTTGTATTTTAAATGATATTCTTTGTCAAAGATGAGTTTCTTTTTTTCCCCATTGTGCTTTAACAAATGTGTTCAAACATTATGGCTAAACAAATCCAGCAATTTTATAACAAATTCCCTCTCCTGAAAACACAGTTGAAATGTGTCCAAAGTACAACATTTGCAAAGTAAATACCAAGGCAATTCTTTGGTTGCTAATTCAATATTGATTGATAATAATGATGATATTTATAGCTTTTGACATACACATCATGTGACTTAAAAAAAAATTTCCCCTTAAGGATTCTGTCCCTTTGGATCAAGATAGCGAGAAGTTTGTTAGTATGAGAGGAAACACTCGCTTAATCATATCCAATGTATCTGTGGAGGATGCTGGCTATTACACCTGTGTCATGAAATTTGCCTATGAAGGCAAGCAATACAACGTCACTCGGAATATTGAACTACGCGTCAACAGTAAGTACTAGTCATCAAGGTACCTCTCCATGCTGGTTCTAAAACTAGTGTGCAAAGAGCATGTGAGTGTTCACTAGAATTTTTTGAATGTCTTTGCTATGACAGTAAAAACAGATGTGTCAAATACCTAAAGATCAGGCTACTAAGATGTGTGCATGTGACACTTTGAAAGGCCCTACAAAGCAGGGTGTTATGGGGAAAGGTAGTTGAGAGAGTGCTAAGTCTAAGGCTAAAACACTAGTGGGGGCAAACATGGGGAGGCGGTCCTTTTGAAACCCCCCCTTTGGAAGGTGAGGAGAGGTCTTCTTCGCCATGTGGGTTGCTCCCTGGCTGGCCGGGAATCGAACTCGTGCTGCAGTGGCTGTGGATTGCTTCACAGGTTGTGTCTTAACCCTACAGGGCCAGCCATCAGAACATGGTTGCCATTTATGTATTATTCTAGGATACAACTGGACTCTTCAGGGCATTTTACAGAAACTTGGAATATATAAAGATTAAATAATTGGTTTATGAGGGGAAACATCTTTTTTTTCACAGAGAACCCAGAGATTAAGTTTTACTATAGGGAAAATCATGTTTCCCATGAACTTAAATCTTTAGGTCGTATTTCTTTTGTAGTCTTGTGAGGATTCATTTACATCAACTCTCAACTGGGACATGACTTTTATCTTTGAAAGAGCCTATAATACTGCACAGGAACACTAGGGGGCAGCCAACCTACGTATTAGCTTGTGTTGTGATCACACTCTATCAGCAGAGCCCAAAGAGTGCCTGGTCCTGGGCCAGCAGCAGTAACATCACCTGGATACTCGTTAAACAGGCAAAATCTCAGGTGCCACCCGAGAACTGCTGAATTGGAAAAGGGGGAAGCAGTCTGTGTTTAACGAGGCCCGCAGATGAGGCTGGTGCACCCTCAGATGCAAGAACCACTGATGTATTTAGTCTTTGTTGCTTCTTTCTCCCCCTTCCACTGCCCCTGCCTCTGTTTCAGCCCTGTGACATGAGGGAAGGGAGAGATTCCTAGTCACGGTCAGGAAGACACCTGTTCCTTAAGCTCTCCTGAGATGTTGTCTGATGTCTACTAATTTGAGGGTTTCAACATGCTTTTTCATGGAAGTGAGGATAGAGCCAGAGGCTGTGCTCATGCATAGCCCTCACCCACCCCTACCTCAGGCCCCCTTTTTGCTTTAATCTTGTGCCCAGTTTCTTTAAGCTGCAATGGATAACTGCCTCTCCAGGAGCTTGGTACTGATTCCTGGGAGATAGACCTGTCTCCCAAAGAGTTTATCTCCTTAGTTAACAACACCTTGTAGCCAATGCTGTGTTACTCTGTTCCTTACTGAGCTTGGGATGGGCATTACAGAAGGCTCTAAGTCCCTGTGCAGTTTTTGTTTTTATTTTGTTTTTTGAAGTAACTCTGTTCTGTGGCACGCACTTGGGGAGATAGGTGGTGGTGGAGCAGAGAGAGACATTTTAGGGTACATAGACCTTAGAGTTGTTAAAAAGCAAAATTTAACTAAGTGAATTTAAAGATCTAATTGACTTTAATGATTCATGAATTGAGCAATAGCCTAGCCACGGTAGAAAGGAGCTCCCAAAAGCCATAATAATGGATGATTTTTATAGGAAGAAAGGGGGTGGAAGAAATAGTAAGAGAGGATTGTCCCTGCAATAGGGGGTGGACAGGCTATCTGGCAGACATCTCGTTGGTGTGACCAGGGAACTCCAGCTTGCCTGGTTAAAGTTTGCATTTTTGGAAGAGGCTGAAACAGCAGTCATATTAGGTATTAAGCCTCAGGTGGCTGACATGAAGCTTAGCACAAGGGACTTCATTTTGGGCCTGTTGTGTCTCTTTTAACAGGTTAGAACCTATCCTGTGGGCATTGTGAATGTTCCTATTAAGAATTCACTTAGAAGCCAGGGGAGGAAACGGTTAACTTTTAGCACAGTACAAAGCCCATCTGGCCTTGCAATGTGTGTTTAAGTCCTCTGCCAGTAACCTCTCTTCTGGGAAAAGTCTTGGCCAAAGATTCTCAATTTTGTGAAGACTGTTTCCTTTGCCAGACAATGACTGAATATCTTACACTGTGAAAGACCACTTAGTTAATTAGTTAAACAATGGAATTTGAACCTAAGCGTGAAGTGAAGACTTTCCTAATCAAAGTTCTTTTCCTCCTCTCTTTCCCAGAAAGACAAGAAGAGAAAATTCCTGTGATTATCTCCCCCCACCAGACCATATTGGCTTCACTGGGTAAGCCTAGGACTGCGTGACCCACAGGGGTGTCTGTATTCAGAACCTGGGGTTCCAGGACCCCATGTCTCATGGTGTGCAGTGTGCCTGGGTTGAGACCCCAGAACTCCAGTGTGAGAGACAGGAACAGCAAACCCGAGGGACTATTTCCCTTTGAAAAATTGTTAGAAATGACATTGCTTGAAAGCAGGTATACCAAGCTCCATGAAAACCCTACCTACAAAAGTTTAATGTGAATATATGAACATTTTGGCAGCAGTTATTTTATAACTGAAGTTATATTAATGTGAATATATGAACATTTTGGCAGCAGTTATATGAAGGGATTAATGGCATGATTTTCTTACAGAGCCAGTATCTGTGGTGTATTTAAAATAATTCACTTTACAAAGTGTGGCTGGTGCTCAGCTTTTCCTGAAGGCTCTCTTTGTAAAATGAGACTGCCCCTGCCACTGCTGGCTGCTCAGAGACAGTGTCTTTGTGGCCAGAATAGCTGGTCAGCTAGTGCATGGTGTGATGAAGACGACTGGTGACTTTCATTTTTCACCTGTTGTAACACGGGCTGCTGGCCACATGAGCTTCCTTACTGAACTTCCTGTGTCCAGAGGAATGTGTCTTGACATTGACCCCTATATGAAGGTTTTAGTTCCCCCATTGTCCAGCAGGAAAAGCTGCCCAGAAGGTCATGTTAGCTCAGGGAAGGCAAAAAGCCATACTCGGTCAGACTGGGGTTTAGACTTATGCCAGTATGTCTGTGAAGTCTCTACTCCTGTTTTGAGTTTGTTTTTGTATCATGGTTTTGTAGGTTTTTTTTTTTAAAGATTTATTTATTTATTTATACAAGCATTGGGTACAGTCAGAAGCGCGGGAGGGTGAGAGAATTCACCAGAGCCAGAGCAGGGAACAGAACAGGCAGACTGACAAAATACACTGCTGAGGGGAGCAGTGGGTGGCAGGAGAGGTCTGTGCGCCATGTGGGACCCTCACCCATGGCCGGGGATCGAACCGGCGCTGCAGAGGCTGAGGGCAGCTTTGCAACCCAGCGCTCAACCGCTGCGCCACTGGGGAGGCCCGGTTTTGTAGGTTTATGCTCATTTATTAAACCCTGGCTGCAGAATCCTATATATGTATGTAATAGAGAGGTAAGGACGTATGTGTGCATGCATGCATATATTTAATTGGTGACCATCGAAAAGGAGGACTTTTGGGATTGCAGTCTACCATGTGAGTTGTAGCTCCCAGTGGCAGCCTTGGCTCTGGGGCCAACCACTTGGGAACCTGGGGAAGTGGGAATACTAGTTAGTGCTAACTGGAATCCCAGCACCCTGGCTTCTTGGTGGTCCCCACCTGGGTGAAGCTGAGTTTCCCACTTGGTAGCTTTGAATAGAATGCAGCGCTGGCAGTCACATGAAGCTGGGTTTAATGAGTTGCTTTTGGCTGAGACATCTTCAAATTTATATGAGGTGGTGAAGGAGGAAGGGGTGCTGACATTCTGAGTCTGAAATAGGACTTGGTACAGTAAATAACGTGCTTCAGGGAGGCATATCCCCCATCAAGAAGAAACAAGGGGGAGGGATGTGTCCCCCTGCCCCTTCCTGAGGTAACTTAAAAACTATAACCTATAATGATTGAGCAGGGGGCCCAATACCATCACATGGCTTAACTGTAGAGGGCAACCATTCATATAAACACAGTGGGTTTTAAGGGCATTAATCTTAATGAAGTTGATCTGGGAATGGAGAGGTTCAGGGGAAAACTGAGAACAGCAGTGGGCCAAAAGAAAGAATCCATACCTTTCTCTGGATTTTTTGAGGTAACTAGAATAAATTACGGAAGAATAGAGCCCTTGAATTCAGAATGCCTGAGTAGTCTTGGGGAAGCCATTGGCTCTGGGTTTTCATCTGCCAAGAAGAACAGTTGAAGGAACTGGAAATGCTTGGTAAATTCTGATGCTCCATTTGCATGGAATGGTTTGAGGAAACTGAGTTTCCTTAAAGAAAAGAATTGGCTGGGGACAGGGAAGGGTCCACTGCTCAGATTAGCTGTGACCTGAAGAGTCGGGGTAACCAATGTTCCCCAGCTGGTTTCTGATGATTGATGCTCCTTGTCTTGCTGTACACAGGGTCAAAACTGACTATCCCGTGTAAAGTGTTTCTGGGAACCGGCACACAATCGACCACCATGCTGTGGTGGCTCGCCAACAACACCAACATAGAGAGCACCTACCAGGGAGGCCGCGTGACAGAGGGGCCACGCCAGTAAGTGGGTGAAAATCTTGGCAACTTAGAAGCATATCCTGCAGGCTCTTGTGAGGCCCCGATAGTCTTCACCCTTCCTTTTGGAGACAATGTCATATTTAGTTTATCAATATGACTCACATACCACGAGGCAACTAACTTCTGAATTGTAAACTGTTGGATTTTTATTTAAAAGTTGAGCTTTGCTGAGATTTGTCAATTGTTAAGATTCAGACTTTCTACAAATCTACATGAGAGGTGGGTTGCAATTAACTCATTGGTATTGATGTTGCATTTTAAACATTTATTTTGTGAATTTTGCAATCCACTCCCCTCTCTGCAGTCGTGAGTATCAAACATTTTCACAGAACTTTAAAGAGACTCTGAAACTTAGCCACAGTATCTTCAGCCTCCTCTGTTTCTTGGGGAACTGTGACTGCCACGTTCTCTCATGAAGGGTTAAAAGAAAGGCTTCTGTTCCAATGAGAGTTCAACTCTGGAAAATATTTCCTCACCCTGAAAGTAGAGCAATCAGACCTTGTAAATGGGCACTGTTTGTACATGAGGATAGTAAATGCACTGTCATTTGATGTTCCAAATTAGAAAACATTTTAGAAACTACTGTTTCAATACTCTGAATTAGCATGAACTTTTTTTTTGTTAAATTTTGGTCCTTTTTGAAAGATCCGTTAAAAAAGTCTGCATGCAGTTTAGTGAGTAAAAATGTGAGGTTAGTGTAATTGTTTGCTTGCAAATCCTTGTTGCAAAAGGCTGTTTCAGCTTCTTAAGCAATTCTTTACTAAAAGGAACCTTTTTTTTTCTCCCATAGATGACTCAGAAATCACCCTAGTGGATTTATATCAACGATGTCTTATTCACATGGGTAGATAGTAGTGAGTGTCTTCAGGTTTCTATCATAGAACAAAAGATGGTTCTGCAGACTAGAGCCAGTCCCTTTGCCTGCGGGCAGCTTTCCTTCCTGTACTTGAGTTCCCAGAGTGAAAGTCAACGGTGAAGATGGAAGGAGACAGTGTTGAGTGCTTAAGTCCTGGAAACTCCCTACTCTATAAGTATGCAAATGATTTATTGGAAATACAGTCAAATTTCCCATCACTAGATATTTCTATTCCCACGACTCATCAAGGGTCTTAAATTATATTTTTTTCATTACCCAAATTCAACTGGCTTCTATAAATTCTCCTTGTCTCAAGTGTCCTATTACAGCGACCAACACTTCAATGTTACTCCATGTTAGGAACAGTGTTAGAAATTCTCCAAAATAAGTTAAAAAAAAACATAATGGCAAGTGCTCATGCTTTTATGAATTTTGAAATCAACTTAAGCATAATGTATCCTTCTGACTGAGAATGTTTGGATGTCTGCATTTTAAAGATAAGCTTGTATTCCATACATCATGTTTATGGATACATTTTCTCACTCAGGGAATACACAGAAAATAATGAGAACTATATTGAAGTGCCACTGATTTTTGATCCAGTCATAAAAGAGGATTTGAACATGGATTTTAAGTGTGTTGTCTTTAATACACTGAGCTTTCAGACGCTACGAACCACAGTCAAAGAAGGTATGTATTTGGGGGACATTAAAGAGGAAAACAAATATTGACTTTTCTGGATGTGAGACAGGGTTACTCACTCTTCAGATGATTAATTAAGAAGTCCTTTGCATTTCCTGTGAGTGAAACACTGAGAACAAATCTCATGGTTTTTATGATTGCTTTTTGGTGATGTGGTAGCTGACTTTGGGGAATTATAGTCAGGTTAAGGTTTAAATAGCAAGCTGATTTTGGGAAAAAAGATAAAATGGTCCTGTGATAAACTTTAAAAAATCCTGTGTCCTCATGTGGTACTGCTGGGTTAGTGGGAGAGATTGTTCCCTATGGCCTCGAGAGGAGGATAAGGTTTGCTTTATGGCAAAGTTGAGTAAGTTCACCCCCTGAAAGCTGAGGACAGGGAGGTATTCAGGCTTCAGGGCACCTTCTGGGTTAGTCATTAGTCAACAGGAGATTAAGTGAAGACTACAGCCAAATCAACCTAGGGCTCATCTAAGGACTTTTAAAAAAGAAGAAAAGAAAAACCCATGCCGAGCAAGAAAGAGAGAAGCAATCAATGTAGTCTATTGACAGCTCAATGGAACAACAGATAAGCCAAAGCAATCCCCATGTGGACTCTCATCAGGCATCTGTGCTGTCTGCACAATACAAAGTGCTCCACTTTGTATTTGCTGGGGAGCCAGCACCAGACAACTTTTAACTGTAAAGCTGAGGATTTGGTCAACTCTCGAGGAAGAGAATGACAACCCAACATCAATTTCCTCCAACTGTAGTCTGTGCAGTCACTGGAATCACTTATTGAAGACAGAGGTTCCTAGGCTTACTCCTGGTTTACCCAAATTCTCTTAGGGTGAGGACAAAGACTGCAGCTTAGTAAATTCCTTTGATATTAAAGTTGGAGAACCAGTTTCTAAGACATCTGTGCAAAGGCTGGTGTTTCAGATAGCTTCTGTAAGAGACTTGGTGGTGGTACACACTTGGATTGAAGGGCTCCACAGAAAGCAGTATCCACTTCTGGGGTTCAGATGAGTGACCCAAAGAAAGCTAGTTTGTATGGTTCTGCTACTGGAAACCTTGAAGAATTTCTCTAGCATGAGTCCTGTGGGGGCATATCCTTTGCTGGGATGGCCGTGATGGAGCAATTTTAGCAGAGAAAATTGCTAAAAGTATTTCACTGAGACTAAGACACAGAAAATTAAAGTTTTTACTCATTTCCTAGCTTTGTGGGATTTTAAGATGTAAGAGTCATCAGGAGAAATAGTTGGAGATTGTGCTGATTCCTGGATGCCTTGATAGACCATGACAACTAACAACATAAAAATTCTAGTCTCATTACCAATGTGTCTCATAGCATTCACATTCTTGTATTTACTCTTTCACTTCTTACTCATAGTTTCTTCTGTTTTCATAACCATAACAGGGATTCCATGAAGTAGAATATAAAATAGCCGGATCCAAGCAATAATCCTGACACCAAAGATTGACATTCAAAGTCTGTTTTCTTTTCCTTTATTACTTTATTTAATCCTCATAACACTCATGCTCATTGGAAAAGGGAAAACTGTACTGTCATCATGTCACAGTTGGCTAATGAGACATGACAGATGATAGCTTCACCTGTCTAGCAGGTGAAGCAAAGTTAGACCCTCAACTTGTCTCCCACTCTGTGTTTTCTGATGGATTTTTGCTCCACTTTGCTTGCCATAGTCATCATTGATATGAATGTGAGAGGCATATTTTCTGGAATTTAATGATCATTTATTAGGAAACACAAATTTCAGTTCCTTTTTTTCCCTGTAAACTACATGTATCTATCCTATTTGGCAGTGAGAGAATGTCCAACCCTGATGTGATTCTATTCTTCCTGCAGCTGCCACATTCTCCTGGAAGATTGCACTCGCCCCCCTGTCCTTGATCTTGTTGGTTTTAGGAGGAATATGGATACACAGACGATATAAACGCAAGAATAGGAAATCATGTGCTTTGGCGATGTTGAAGACTGTCGGTCAAGATTTTCGATCTCATTCAAGAAATAAAAAGGAAATGAAATAATTCAAATACAAATCATATCCTTATTAAAACAGCTGTACTCTTTCCCTTAGTTGTTTAACAAACCTGCTGTATTTATAGTGGATTTTGTAATAAAGGTTTGAAATAATACAATTTTTCTGAAATCAAATGAGAGCAGCAAATGTTCATGTGTGTAGGCAAATAGCACTCTGCTTTGCAACCTACTTAATGAATGAATCACCCTGACATTTGAATAAGAGTTGAAAATATCTAAATGAGTTTTAGAATTCATTCATTCACTCATTTAACCAACACGTATTAGAAGTCTCTTTTGCCTATACACCATAACTATTTTAGATACAATAGTTAAGACATAGTTTGTCTGTTGAGAAGATGGGGTTTCTTTTTGAGACTGGAAAGAATGACTTAAAAATGGTAAAGAAGAATAATCAGCAAGAATTGGTGAATTTTTTAAAACAGATGATCTCAAAACATAGCAATTTAAATCGGTAGATGGGGGAAAACATGGTGGAGTAGGCCATGTCATGAAAGTGTCTCCCTAAGATCATCCAGAAAATGGCTTAAATTCTCATACTTCTCATATCATCTTAACAGTAGAAGATGCCTGATTGCCCAAACACCTGAATTATTGAAGGTGTCAGCCAAAGAGGCAGTGTCTTGGTGGAGTCAGAAGAGGGAGGGTGGATCCCCAAACATGGCAGTGCCAAGTGCATGGCAGCAGCCTTCATTGCCTCTGAGCAACTATGCCAGAACAGGGAACAGGCAGAGGAGGGTCTGGATTTGGGAGGCATACATCTCAGAACTATCACAGAGACAGAGACAGGGAAGTCTATGCACCCTCTCCAAAAGCTGGAGGCTGTGGTCAAACTTGGAATCCTGTGAATTTTCACTGCCCAGAGTGGCAGGTGGAGGCCCTTCCTCCCAACCCCAGGAAAAGCAGGGAAACTTGTTCCCAACACATAAGTCTCCACCTGTACCAGCTACAAAACCTGCTCTATTTCCCCTCACCCCCTAGCCCACTATAGTTGGCTACACAATGAGATACCCCCTTCTATCTGTGAGAATGGCCCATGTCAAAAAGACCAGAAACAAGTGTTGACAAGAGTGTAGAGAAAAAGGAGTCTTCTTACACTGTTGCTGAGAACGTAGAAGGTCCATTTCCTTGTGGCGGTTTCTTAAAACATTAAAAATAGATCTACTATATAATTCAATAATCCCTCTCCTATGTGTATTCTTGCAATATAAAACCACTAATTTGAAGGGATACAGGCACCCCCATGCTAATTGCAGTACTATTTACAACGGCCAAGATAGGGGAACAACTTAAGTGCGCAACGGCTTGTGAGTGGATAAGGAAGATGTGGTATATATTCAAAATGAAATCCTAATGATCTATAAAAAAAGGATGCAGTCTTGTCATTTGTGACATGGATGGAACCGGGGAGGACTATGGTAAGTGAAATAAGTCACAAGGAGGATGACAAATACCAGGTGATTTCACTCATATGTGGAATATAAACTACAAAGCAAAGAAACAGATCAAACCAAATCAAAAGCAAACCCTAGAAATCTCATTATAGAGGCCACCAGAAGGGGAATTGTTAGTTTTCTTGTCTGCAAAATGGGAATAATAACAGGAACGATCTAGAGGGCTAGCTATTTAAAGATAAAATTAAGAGACAGGATACACAGAAATAAAAATATTGTATTGTTTAGACCTAAGAATGACAAACTGCAGTCTTCGGGCCAAATGCAGTCCGCCCTCTGTTTCTGTTACGTTTTATAAGAAGACAGCATGCCTGTTGGTTTACATATTGCCTGTGGCTGCATTTGCTCTTTGAAGGCAGAGCTGAGTAGTTGAAAATTTGAAATATTTACTATCTGGACCTTTCAAGAAAAAGTTTGCTGACCAGTGATTGAGGCCAAAGAAGTTATGGGCAGTTTTGATGCTTCCTGTTATATTTCTCTATTATATCTTCTCTCCCGTTCCTCATCTGTTTTCTATCATATTAGGAAGAAGAGGGGAGGTAGGTTTTTTAGCACCTGATCAGGAACTTTAACTGTGAAGGAAATGGAAGCAACGCTTGAGATGGAAGTTTCAGTGAGGACAGGTTAATGCTGCTCTTGGTGCGCCTGTCTATTCTGGATCTTCTGACTTGGTGCCACACAGCTTTCCTCTCCGGGACTCCACTTGCAAGCTCTTCACCGTTCCCCACATTCAGATTTTGGCAGCATCAGCAATGACCCAGAAAAGAAGCTGACTGCAACTAGGAGACAACAACCACAATTTTATTTTTGGACTCCACCTTCACTGCCTGGGTTACACATTTCCTCCCCTCCACAGGTCAGAAGTGTGGGTCAAGCTGCTAAAACAGCACATGCATTTGATACTGGATGTATGATAATATTAAGGAATAAGTATGATATTGGGGTTATGTGTTAAGAGAACAGTTACTATTTTCTAAGAGATATACTGCAATATTTATGAATGATAGTTGAGATTTGCTTCAAAATAATCCAGTGCAAGGTGGCAGTATAGATGAAATAAGACTGGTCATGTGTTGATAATTGTTGATACTAGTGATGGGTACGTGGGGGATCCTTATACCCTTCTTTTATACCATTTTCTCTATTTTTGTATATGCTTGACCATTTCCATAATAGAGAGGAAAAAACAACAACATAGAAACAACCCAAATACTCACTGGATAAGGGAATGTGTATGTGAACTGAGGTGTAAAAGCACTATACATCATATAGGTGATGAAAATGGATAAACTGCAGCTACAGGAAATAATAAGGATGAATCTTAGAAATATATTATTGGTGAATAATAAGTCCCAGAAATGCTTATTTCTAGATAATGCCCTTTTATATAAAGCAAAGTACAAATAAAATTAAACCCAGAATATACGTACATGTATAATATATATGTATAAACACACATGTAAATAGGTATATTTAAGAGCATATGTGAAATAAAACTAATTTAAATTATATATGTATGTATATATTTTAAAAGCACATTTGTAATCAAATCATATTTTAAGAAAGCAAGAGAATGAGAGGGAGCCTCCCTGGTGGCACAAGGGGTTAAGCACAGCAGTATGAAGATATCCACAGCCACTGCAGCACGAGTTCAATCCCTGGCCAGGGAGGTGACTCACGTTGCGCAGCCGACCTCTCCTGACTTGCCTGCTGCTCACCTCAGCAGTGTATTTCAGTAGATCGGCCTGTTCTGCTCTCCTGTCTCTGGTGAATCCTTTCACCACCCATACCTCTGGCCTGCACCCTAGTTCTTGTATGCATAAGTAAATCTTTAAAAAAAAAAAAAAGGGAGAGAATAAGAAACACAAGGTCCAGAAGAGTAAACCCATCAGGTGACAGGTCAGGGACTGGGGTTGGGATGGTTTAGGAAGATGTGAGTTACATCAGGTTCTACATCTCATGCTAGGTGACAGTTATCGTTGTTTATTATTAAACAGGCAGATGAAGGAAAAGGCTACACTTGGACCACTGAAGAGAGTGTGTCCTGAATCAAGGATTCTAATCGAATTCTGAGCTCCCAAGTCCAAATTAAACAAACAAAAATGAAGCTAGATGGTCTCTTCCCTTAATGTGGCCGATCTAATCTATTTTATGTTGATTCTTTTGGGTTAACTTTGTGAGGTGAAGTTTTCCATCTCCCTCTACAGAATCTGGGGAGACTGGACAGTTAGCAGTGCCCATGGCTTTGCACAGCTATGCATCGCCTAGAGGAAAACCAATCCTAGGTAATCAAACACTCCCTTCTCCAGAGCTGACTGAGGATGACAGTGGACACCAGAAACAGGCAATGATTTGTGCCCCCCAAAATGAATTTTTTTGGTCTCATATATTTCATAAGGGCTTTTGGAAAGGGTAGACTTGTATATTTAGTGTAAGACCCTCTGGGGCAAGAGCCTTCTCACTTTTTGATGCATCCCAGTTTCCTGGCTCCGTGCCTCTTTGTTTAGTAGATGCTCAGGAAATGTCTTTTGACTGGACAGATGAACTGTGCACTATTTGGGTTTTCTCAGAGTTTATCAAACATGTTCTGTTAGTGGGCTCCTTCTGAGTTTCCCTGCTTCTACTCCAACTCCCAAATTCACACTGGTTATTTCCATTACTGCTGCTAACATCTTGTTTAGACACACACATGGGCATTGTGTTTTCTTGTCAAACGGCCCTGCCCCACACTGACCTCTGCCCTATGTCACCTCTCCCCCCATGCTAGGGATCCTTGTTGCTGCCACTGTCCCCCAAGAGAACACAGTCACCCCATAAAGGACAGTGTTTTGGGCAGTCCAGAGGTCAAGCAGTCCAAGTGCCACCCTGGGCTGCAGCCTTTGTTATCTGCGGTGCCAGGGGCCTCCCCGTCACTCACATAGGTGGTCTCCTTCCCTGCTGCACCTGGTGAGTCTTCTGCCACTGCAGGGACAGTGGCCAGCTGGCCTATCCCACAGGACCCAGCAGAGGTGGAGTGAGCCCTGCTCCTCCTGGCATCCTGCAGAAACCACTTCCCCATTCCGCTTTAGACAAAGGGAAGCAGAATGAAACCTCCCACAAAGAAGCTCCCAGAGGTGCTGCCTACTGATTCTTCAGAAAAGACCCAGCCAGCAGTTATAGGCCCCTGAGGGAGGCCTAGGAGTCAGCTATGTAAGAAGGAAGCATCTCTGCCAGCTGCATAGACTAGGGAAGAGAAAGCTTAAGATAAAAAAACAAACAAACAAACAAAAAAAAACAGTGGGAGGAAAGAAAAGGCAAGGAAAAAGAGGGAACAAATATTTAAACATCTACAATATGCTAGATTTTATGTTTTACTTAATTTGATTTTCAAACCAATTTACTTAATTTAATTCTCAAACAAATCCTACAAAATGAGTTTTGCCTCCCACATTGTAGAGGCGAGGAAATCAAGGCTCAGTTTAAATATTACTTAACAGAGAGACAGTGGCTTGAATGTGCAGCAACAAAGCGTTTCCTAAGACCAAACTGGGAACTCAGCACAGCTGCAGAACAGCTGGCCCCAAGCTGGGGCAAGTCCTTGTCAGGCATACAGGAAAAAGGAGCAGAGCAAATGTTTGCTTTCAGGGGAGGAGGGGAGGGCAGCCTTGCTA